TAAATATACTGTTATTTTAAAACATATTTAAATTAGGGATGCACAATTTTATCGATAATATCGGCCGATATTGATACCATGCCGATAATATTGTGCATCCCTAATTTAAATATGTTTTAAAATAACAGTATATTTAGTTTTTTGGCATCTTGCCTGTTGTTTTTTTCAGGCGATTGTGTTCCAGCTGAGCAAGTGAAGAAGCCGACTCCTCATCCTCAGGTACGTGTGAGGAACGTTAAATCCACCGATGTGTGTGTGTTTAATGAGTAATCAGTCACAAATGACATCAATCTTGTTTTTCATTCAGACTTTTGTTCCTAAGAAGTCAAAGTGAAAGATGCAGCCTCTTTTCTGCAGAAGAGGAAAAAGTGATTTCTGAGCTGGTGGGAAGACAGACGACTTGTTTCTCTTCACATTGCACAAACAAGTATTTACCTCAAGTGTGCACGTATATGTTAATTCATTTATGAAACACTCCTTATATGATGATTCTGACAGAAGGATATACGCTTCTTATTTTGAACTACCACACTCACTTCTGAAATTTGTGATTTGTAATCAATTAAAAGTTACTAAACATAATAAAATATGTATTGTGTTTTAACCCATCATGACTGGATGAGCGATTATACAATGACAGACTTGTCAGATATATTATTCATGTTATCAGCATGGAAAGATGGAAAACATTCACTGTTTGTTAATGTGATTGAGTTATTTTCAGTTGTAATTCTCTTGATGTAATAAAACTCACAGTTTACTGTATTCTATGCTGCTGGTGTTCTATATGGTGTTGATGGTTGTTGAAGACCTGACAAAACAGGCAGATATGAGTTCAAAATTATTTAATAAGTTGAAACGAAAGGGAATAGTGCTTCGAGCATTTGGGCATGTCCAACTTGGAGGAGCCTCAGGACCGGGAACGCCTTGAAATCTTCATAAAAGAGCTGGAGGAGGTAGCTGAGCGAGATGTCAAAACTCCAGGACAGAATAGAAACGCAAGGGTTTGATAGAGAAAGAGTGAAACCAGTGAGCAGTCTTCTGGGGTGGGTGATTAGCGAGTGATAACAGCTGGGGTGATCACAGATCGTGTGCGCAACAAGTAATACAGCAACAATTAGCACAACGTGACAAACAAAAACTTGCCATGCTATAGAGGAAAACAGAAACTAAAAATGTCTAAACTGAAGAGACTCGTGCAGAAACTTAGTGAATGCAAAGATCTACAGAAAACAAGATAACTGAACCAACAGAGCACGAACCCCAAACGATGACAGAGACAGGTCTGTTTGAACCTTGAGTCATTTTTAAAACATGTGAAAGAAGATAAGCTTCTTAATGAGCGTATAGGTCCCAAATACATTTAATACATTAACATCATGAGACAGATCTACTATCATTTATGTGAAAATCATCACAGGTTAATGTGCAAATTATAAATATACAAAGGTTAAAATAAAATTAGTAGATCTACACAAGATGTCTAAATATGGTAAAGCATAGTTATTTATTTCCCCAGGACTGGATTCTTTTCAAAATACAGATTAGCTGTACCCTGCAGATGTACCTGATCTAACCTGCTGAGTTTTGAAATCAATGTGACGTCAAACCACTATTTTTGGTTGTGGTGAAAATACTGTTATAACTGATAAAGTGAAGTAGACTGTTTTGTTTTTATCTCATACATTTCCATTCATTACTACATTGCTAATAGCATTTCATGAATTGTGCCTAAAAATTTTCCCAGGAATTGGCTTGAAAACAAAACTCCAGTTGTAGTTTTTATCTATTTTCTCCTGCAAGATAGAAATATTGTGACTATAGATTTCACTTTGTGGTTACATCAATATCAAATTCCTCAGTAGATGAAAACGTGCAGGTCTCCTTTGAGCACCAGCACAAAAAAGACACAAATCAGAATAAAAACCAGACATTTGTTGCTCTGAAATTACGACATTTATTGATTTGTCATTATTGCTGCAACCCTGAAGTCCAACGTTTGGGAGCTTAGCTGCCTGTCCTGGCACAGAGACGCACAGAGGCAGAACTTTGCTCCTTCACTTGTTTGTTTATCACTTGGATGAGGGAGTGATTACATTCGGGGGTCACAGCCCTCGCAGCTCCTCACAGATCAGTCCAATTAGTTGTTCCCTTCTCGGTAGCAGCGAGGGGGTCATTCGCTGCCTCGTGCTTCACACTTTCAGAAAAACTTGGACAACAGGATGCAACGAACAACAGTCCTGGTTCCTCTGCTGATCCTGGGATGGATCTGGACCCTCCAGGGGCTCCCGGTTCTCCCAGATCCTCTCTATCCCACACAGGAGAACTTTGACTTGAGCAAGGTGAGAGAGTGAACTCTGAAGCCATTCAGGCGTTTTCTTGTTATATAAATAATACAGAAAATGTGTTAAATTCACCAAATCTCAATACTGACCTCTATATATACTTTCATTGTGTTCTCATTTTAAACATTTAATCTCATTAGTTGATACTTTTGTTCATGATTAGGGGATAAAATGGTTTTTTTTTTTATATATCATATTTTGTGAGTCAGTGAAGATGGTCATTAAAAATAATATGATCTGTGTCTGAAGTAAAACAAAATGCACTCTGGAACATTTCTCTACTTTTAAAAGAATGGGACATTTTAGCTCTTGGATGTCTGTTAGTAAAAGGTTTGTTTGCATCATGTTAATTATGACAGTTTATGGGAACATGGCGTGACATTGCTGTGGCGAGTTCATGTCCCTACATGCAGCGTCACAGAGGAGACGCAGCCATCGGCAAACTGCTGCTGCAGAACGTAGCTGCAGGAGGAAAGATAAAGACGACCCGAACAGTGCTCAGGTTTGTGTAAAATACTGTCCTCAAACTGTTTTTATCTAAATCCATGCAAATCTGCCTTCAAAATAGTTGCATTTAACTGATGAAACACCAGACAACATGAAACGATCTACATTTTTTAAAAATTATGTAATGTTTTTAACAATCATTTGCTCATTCTAGGTGTTGCCTCATTTACAGTCTGATTTTTTTATTTATAAATTAAAAATCATTAGAAAATACAAGAAAAATAAAGGTAAATTCTGCACAGTTTGCACATGCAGCATTTTGGGTATGAGTACAATGTTATTTAAATATTACCTTTCAAGATCAGTATCATAAAGTGCTTCATAACAAGACAAAAACACTGAAAACAAACTACCGTATTATTCAGACTATAAGGAGCACTTAAAATCCTTTAATTTTCTCAAAAATCGACAGTGAGCCTTATAATCTGGTGCGCCTTGTAGTCTGAAAAATACGGTAAGTTAACTTGTGGTTTAACAACAATGTTTAATTAAAGCAAGTTTAAGAAGCTTTAAAAAAAATTGTATGAAATAAAAGTAAAAATACAAAGTAAATCATTGACTGAAAATTTTAATTAAAAAAATTTAGATGTAAAAATTCAAAGAACATAAGTTTTCATCATTTTTTCTGATTTATTAAAAATAACATAGAAGGAGGATCAGAGTTAAGATATAATGGAGTTAACAAAAAAGGTCAACAATTTAAAGGCTTTTGTTCAATAATTGTAAGGTTTTGACCTTCAGGGACAAAATAAATAAATAAATTGCTCAGAAAACCTTTATATTCACCAAGAGGTGATTCAGATAGTCTTTGTACATGTAGGACTTTCAAAATAAAACTCAATTCTTTGTGTCAGATATTCAGTTATTTTAACATACCATTCCAAAATGACCCAGTTTGATTAATAATGGCACACTTTAATGTCTGATGTGCAAAGAGTTTCCCCCCCAACGTTAATTGATATGTGTGCAGAAATGGAACATGTAAGGAAATGACTGGAGATTATGAGCTCACCACCACACCGGGACGATTCTTCTACCACATCGAAAGTACGTTTTCATCTTTTTGCTCTTTCCCACTGCAGTTTTGCTCTTTTTTTCTGCTAAGATAGCTCATAAATGATCAACTGATGTAAAGACCCTTGCTGCTCTCCTCCCTGCAGAGTGGGGTGCAGATGTGGACGCTTACGTAGTTCACACAAACTACAACGAGTACGCCATCGTGATCATGAGCAAGCAGAAGTCGTCAGGTGTTAGGAGCACCTCGGTTAAGCTTTACAGTGAGTGGACTTTCTTTTTTTAATGACATTTCATTGTTGGTTTTATCTTTTTCATCTTGACAAAACGGCTTTAGCGTAAATTTTGTTTAATAAACAACAAGTTGAAGTTAAGATTTGCTGTGGCATGACGTGATGAAGTAGACTTGATGCAGAATTACAGTCTAAAAGCATAAAAAGTTAAATTAACTTTAACTAAAACAAAAGGTGCAAAAGAAAGTAAGTCTTGGTGCAGAAGGTAACATGATGTAAACTTGACAGGAAAAGCACAGCTACTAAAAAGGTTGCAGTTCCTGAGAAAATGTTGTGTGGAAGCTTATTACTGAATGACTTTTGCTGAACGCTGCTGAAGAAATTGAACTCAGGCTGCAAAGTTTGTTAAATTTGAATGACATTTGCTGAAAGCAGCAGAAGAACATCAGAAATTTAAAGAAAATCTACAGCAAACAGCATAAGTGTATCAGAAATGAACAGGCAAACAGGCGGAGGGAGGCAGAATAGATTACAAGTCATCTTAAATTAGCAAAAGAAGTAGCTTGAAAAGATGAAATTGGCAGAAAGAGGCTGAAAATAGCTGAACCAGAACGGACGCTGAGATGAGAAGCAGTAAAAGGTTTTAAACAGCACCATCATTATTGACAGTTATCACCAGAGTAAACAAACTGACTGCCAGAGAGAGACAACCATGTAAAAGGTAAGTGATCTTTATTTACAGTGTGCATTAATAGAAGGTAGGGGATGGGAAGGTACGGTACGGTAAGTATCTTGTAAACATATATTTTATGATTTATATTATTTATATTTATGATATTTTTCTTAGTATCCAAAGTGTATCCTTACTTTGTTTGTCTTTGTTGTAGGCGAAGAGAAGACGGAGGATTACAAACAGGCGGTGGTACAGGGGCGAGCATTAGAGAGCGGCAGGACAGAAACTCAAGGACTGATCTGGTGAGATGACGAGGCGCAAAGGTAAGTTGTTCCAGGCTGTAGATCTCTCAGGAAGGTAACTCGAGGAAAACGGGACTTCCACATGTAAGTAACTCAGGACTGAAGAAAACACAAGGAGTACAGGTTGGTTGTTTCTTATTTGGATCACAGAGAGCTGTTGTTACCTGAAGGTCTCAAATGTTTCAGTGATCTATTAAGCCACAGGTTCTTTTAAATTCAACAGACCTCATCAGGCTGTGTCAGGAACAGGTGTGAGAGTTAAGCTCCGCCCTGCAACTCAAGAGCTGCAAGAACGGTGGTTAGTGGCAGGAAAACACAGAATCTCCACAGTACCCCCCCTCTCAAGAATCGCCTCCAGGTGATCGAAAATGCTTCTCGGGATGTAGTCTATAAAATGTGGTGATGAGACTGGGCTCCAGGATGAAGGACCTGGGGATTCAAGACCTCACTTAAGGACTGTAGCCCTCCCAGTCCAATAGACATTAAAATCCCAGACCACTATGGCATACATCCAAGATGCGCCGGACAGTGAAAGCTGGATGGTCGTCAATGAGTTGGGGGGTACTGGGAGGTAGGGTGGAAGGTTCAGTGGACTTTCTGCAACAGGCTTGATCTGAGGCACATGGAAGGTGGTATGTATACTCACAGAGGAGGGGAAGTCGGACAGCAGTGGAGTTATTTTGATTTGAAAAAGACAGATGAAACTAGGGGCACGTTTCCTGGGGGTGTCCTTAAATGTGATGGCTCTGTTGGAGAGCTATACCTTTTGTCCCATCTTGTAATCTGGAGCAGACATTCTGTGTTGCCCAACCTTTTACTTTGTTCCACGGTACGTAGGAGGGCCTTTCTGGTCCTTCGCCAGATCCTGCGGAGATAATGCTGGACAGAGGAAACTGCAACGTCAGACTCCGGGCTGGGGAACAATGGAGGTGAGTAGTCCACTGAGGCTTCAAATGGGGAGAGACCAGTGGTGGATGAAGTGTGGGTGTTGTGCATACGCAACCCAGGGTAAATGGTGACACCATGTTTATGGGTTGTTATTGATCCTGTGAGTGTTGACTCCAGCTCCTGGATGCAGTTTTTGGATTGGCCATTCGACTGTGGATGATAACCAGATGTGAGACCGGTTGTGGCTCCTAAGGCTTGATAAAAGGATATCCAAACACGAGAGATGACTTGGGGACCTTGATTAGACAACATCACACGGGATTCCACACACTGAGCCACAGCTCCATTCATGTTCATTAAGGAAAACAAGGCTCAATATTTCAAAAAGTTAAACGCATGAATACCAAAAGTCATAGCAGGAATGTCCGAAATGAGCTGAAAGTTTTAATACACAAATCGTTGAAATAGCACAAAAATTGCGGAACGAGTTATATGCTGAAAAACATACTTGAGAAAAACAAATCTCAGTAGTGTGAATGTTTTATTAACACAGTGGTGTAGTATGTGTAATACACGGGCATACGGAGTATACCCACTAGAAAAACTTTGAAATTTCAGTATACCCACTTAAAAGTGTCCAATGACACGAGCCCATGTCACGTACATGAGCTCGTGTCATTGTCAACACATTTGGAACATTTTATAGACACGTTGAATTGGTTCCACGTGTTTTTTTAAAAAAATAATTAATACTTCTGTACTTAAAACTTAATACTTGAACATGTTTTGATTTGATACAGTTTTATAAATTATACAACATGTTTTTAAAACAAAGCCAAATGTTGTACAAAGTTAATTGTACATTTATTCAAATAAAAGCATCAGAGAAATTTTGAAATGTTCAATACGCTTAAAAATCAAATTAAATTGACCATTACATTGTACTAACTGGTGTACTTTGGTTTCTAAGCACAGTATTCCCACTATACAAATGTATAGGCTACTACACCACTGCATTCACATAACATAGAAACAGATGGAGGACAAAAAGTGCCTAATGAGCCAATGAGGGTGCAGGGAGAGGAGAAAAGGCAGTTTAAGATGGAAAGACTGTGACTAAAATAAGACCTCAGAACCAAAATAAAGATCCAAGCAACGCCAAATCATAAAGTAACACAAACGCAAAAAGATAACAGAAACCCTTCAACTTCAACTCTGATAGGTTTGAGTAAGGGACTGAATCTGAACATCTGTTTGTTTAATATGTTTCTTTAAAATCTGTTTTATGTCTAAAGGTCGAACAATGGTGGTGAGACCCACAATTCTGGACGACTTTAAAACCCTGGTCAAACAACAAGGAATGAGTGAAAGCACCATCATCATTAAAAAGAACAAAGGTACAGCACAAAGAAATCAACTGGAACACCAGCATGGGCACAGAGCTTCAAATTAAATTTAAGAGGAAATTACTTTTGTTCAATATATAAAACATAATGTGCCATCGCCGATGAAATATAAAACTGTATATTTTTGTCCACAAATTGAATTTTGAATAAAAGTTGTTAGGGTTTTTTTTTTCTATGCAGGTGATTGTGTTCCTGGAGTGCAGGTTGCAGTGCCGACAGCTCCACCTGAGCCTCAGGTAGAACTGCAGAAATATCACATCTACAACCAACAGTGGCCTTGCATCACGATCTCATTCACAATTTTACTTTTTTATTGTTAATATTTACCCTTTTTAATCTGGGAGACTTAAATCCAATCAGCTTGTGAACAAAGTGATTGGTTATACAGTTAAGATGTGCATTAATTGCCTACAAAATTGTAATTTTGAGGAGAAAAAGTGAGTAGCATTGATCATCTTTATTTAAAACATTTGAAGTTTTGTTAGGAATCTGTTCATCCATGGCACTCTTGTGAAAGCAACCTCCCCCAATTGTCATAGGACCTCCAAACTCCCACTGAGCATCCTCTGAATGTACAAAATAAACAAATAAAAAGATGGACAAAAATTTTAACTGCTGCCAACAACTTGGTGCAAGAAATACAAAATATTCCTAGTGGTCCTGTGTCGTCAAATCTGGTTTGGGATCTTGGAGGTCTACACAGCTTCAGGAACATGGTTTGATTTTATGCCTGCTTGAGTTTTAAATGGGAAATATATATTTTTTATTATTAAACAATATTTTCAAAATTTCCACATTGCATGTTTACAAACTATTTTATCTGTCATAAAGATTTACTTGCCCTCTTTTGTAATTATATGAGTTTAAAATATATATACAGGTGTATTTTTACAAACTTAAATGAAGTTTGAAGTTTTCCTTCGTTCTCTCTTTCTCTCTCGATGAAAACGGTCACTCTCACTCTCACTCCTGCTTTTTTGTGCTCTTGTCCTGTCATCCTCCTCAGAGCTTCTCTCTACACATCTTCCAAAATGAAAATTATTATAGATTTGGTCAGCTAGTCTCTCAACGCAATTGATAAAAATGTTTCCACCAGATGACGGGGTGCTGGAGAGCCCTCATGCCCTGAACGGACACACGCTGCTGAGTTTGTCATGGATTCCTGGGAGCTAGTGGAAGATGGTGTGCCTATCTGTGCTGTCTGTGGAAGATGTAGAAAATGTGTACATTATTGGATTTACGATAACAGGGTTTCTTCTTTTTGCAATCGGCGGACACCTTGGACATCGACAAATTAGGAAGACGTCGGCAGCAGTTTAGGCCACGGTAAAGCTGCCAGCCTTATGTGAAGGATTAATTTGTGCTTCGAGCGCTCAGACTCATATTCTTACTGAGTTCAACTGCAAGCTGAATGCGATATCTGAGAATCGTAGGCCACTTGCAGCTCCTGGAACTCGCTGGCATGAAGTATTCCACCTTAGAGAAAGCTAACGAGCATGGACGGGGCGTAGTATGACTGAGCATCATCAAACTGTAAAGCTATAGTTAGCGGAACACAAGAAAAATGGTGCATAAAATCAAACACAAGTTACAAAAATCAAGTCTCCTTGAGCCTTCAGTAACATTTTAAACAGTCAAACATTTTGAATTTGTTTTAACTGTTTTGTGTTCAGATGGCTCTACTGTTGTGGACTGAGTCTGTTTTTTTGTTTGTTTGTTTGTTTTAAAGCGAGTGAGAAGAAATGTGGTGCCTTCTGTGAACCCTCTGGACATCGAAGGTTCTGGGTTTGATACACCTCTCTTCAATGGAACCGGTAACAGATCAACTCTATCAAAACCATCACTATATTATTACTATTACATGTTTAGATACAGCTGCTTCAATTCAAATGAATGTACGTTCAAAGGAAACTAGAAGACCAGTTCTGATGTAGCTTCTCTTCTCTGTCACTCCCTCTCAACTCGTCTGTTATGACAGAGGCGTGTAACGCAGCTCCGGATTCAGGGCCGTGTTTCGGGCTGCACGAACATTACTTCTACAACGCTTCCTCCATGAGCTGCGAGCTCTTCAAATATGGAGGCTGTTTGGGGAACCAGAACAACTTTAAAACTGAGAGAGAGTGTCTGCAGAGATGTCGAACAGAGGGTGAGGAGCCAGTGTCTGCAAATGGGATGCTGCGAAAAACAAATAAAACAAATTATTATTAATTACCTAAAAAGTTTTAATAAATAAACAACTTTAACATGACAAAAATGGTGCTTTTAATAGGTTTCCTGTTTATAATTTATTCGGTGCATTAAAATACTTCCAGATACTTTGTGCTATTTCAACCATTTATATTTCAAAACATTCAGTTCGATCAGCTATAATGTGCCTTGAGGTTACGTTTTTTGAGCTTTTATAATTTTTACCGTTTATTTACAAAACAATTCTCCACAAAAACCCATTGACATCGCTTTAAATTCTTCAAAGACATTTATGCTCTGAAATCTACTTCAGCATACTTGTTCTAGTTTTGTCTTCTTATGCTACTTTAAGCTACTGTTGTGTAAATTCAGCATTTAGCAACAATTTAGCAAATTTTAGCTTTTTGCTAAAGGTAGCTTTGCGCTACAGTTTTGTTAATTTTTTTGTTTTAGCTAAAGTTTTGTTCATTGTAGCTTTTAGTTATTGTTTTGCTAATTCTAGTTTTGAGCTACAGTTTTGCTAAATATATTTTTAAGCTACGATAAAATGCTGCTATCCTTATGTTTAAGCTTTGAGCTGAGGTTATGCTAATGCTTCTTTCAGCTAAAGTTGTGCTAAATTTTGTTTTTAGCTAAAATTTGGTCATTTTAACACTTTCGTCATCTCTATCGTGTGCTTAATCTGTTTGTGTCTGCAGCTGTGTGTCGTCTCCCCATGAAGGCCGAACCCTGCACCGGCCAACCAAGCATCTGGGCCTTCGACTCCACCGTTGGTTTATGCTTGGCCTACAAACCGGGCTTCTGCCAGACCAACGCCAACAAGTTCTACACCAAGGCAGAGTGTGATGAGTACTGTGGCGTGGTCAGAGAAGGTGAGACAAATGGAAACAGGACAAAAAAATCAAATTTGTTTGCACTTTTATATTGCTCGTTTTGCAAGATGAACGTCACAACTTGGTAAAATATTTAGACTTTCATGATGTCATCGGCACCACGTGAAGCATTTGATGCATTTTTGCTGTTTTACAGATGATCTTCTGATGTCAACCTGAGCAAAGAGGAAATGGTGTCAACCTTCAGAACGCCTCTTACTGGGATGAAACCCAAATAGGATCATACAATATGCACAAAGTAAAAATCAGATGTAACAGATAGGCATGACAAACCCTCAATAAAAACATTCATAATTTGTCTCTTGCTATCAAAGATGCTTCGGTACCCAGTGGTTCCCAACCCTGATCCTCGAAGAACACTGTCCGGCATGTTTTAGTTGTCCCCCTGCTCCAACACACCTGATTCAGTAATTTATTTACTTCCTGAAGTTCTGCTAAAGCCTGTTAATCATCAATTCATTCAAATCTGGTCAAAAGCAGGGAAACAACTAAAACAAGCAGGATGGTGTTCCTCAAGGACCAGGGTTGGGAACCACTAGGGTGCGAATCTCTGTGCCTGGCGATTCGATTCAACGTCGATTTTCGATTCAGAAACAATTTTTCTATTGAAACGGTCATAAATTTTGTTTAAATTATGTAATTGACAAGATGAAAAGATTAAACAACAATGTAAACAAATAGAAAATTTATTTTAAACAATAATTTTAGGTTCCTTACTGCATCAAATCTTTTTACATCATTTTATGTTCATACTAAAAATAGAGTCAGAGATTCTTTATTGTCGTTAAATGTCGTTAATTCCATATGTGGTGGAACAAAATTATGTACACTGGGTCCCAGTTACATCCAACAATTAAAATGTAAAAGAAAAACAATGATAACATCTAAGATATGAACTGAGAAAAACATCAACTAAAAATACATTAAGCACTAATAGCATAAAAACCTCCATGCCACACGTTAATGATGGAGCACAGGATGCTCTCCACTGCTCACCTGTAGAAGGAGGTGAGGACTGAGCTTCCCAGACCAGCTCGTCTCAGCCGTCTGAGGAAGTAGAGTCTCTGATGAGCTTTCTTGATCAGGCTGGTGGTGTTGTTGCTCCAGCTGAGGTTGTCATTCAGGTGCACGCCCAAGTACTTGTAGCTGGAAACCACTTCCACCGCAGATCCGCTTATGTTCAGGGGGGTGTAGGTGTGTTTGTTCCTTCTGAAGTCCACAATCATCTCCTTTGTCTTCTTCACATTGATATTGATGTGAAGGTTATTCTCTTTGCACCAGCTCTCCAGGTGTTCCACCTGTAGCTGGACTCATCATTGTTTGTGATGCATCCCACCACCGCTGTATCATCTGCAAACTTTACAATGTGACAGCCTGGATGGGAAGCTGCACAATCATATGTGAGCAGAGTAAACAGGAGAGGGCTCAACACACATCCCTGAGGAGAGCCAGGGCTGAGGGATATGGTGGAGGAGGAGAATTTGTGGATTCTCACTCACTGTGGCCAGGACTGTAGGAGTGCATACATTCCCGTAACTTAAATTACCAGCCTGGCTTTTTCAAAAATAAAACAAAAATCTAGGAACAAATAATTCTTCTATCCATCATCCATTATCTTTACCTGCTTCTTCCTTTTTGGGTCACAGGGGTCACTGGTGCCCATATCCAGCTTTCACTGTGGGAGAGGCGGGGGACACCTGGACAGGTCGGAAGTCCATCACAGACAAATAATTCAAAATATATAAATACAAAAGTGAACAAAGACTTCAGCCTACCATAGTGAATAGACCATTTAAAAAGGTGGATGGACATTTTCCTGTTTATTTAAACATTTATTAAATGTATAGTCATTATTATATTGCACAGATTGGCACAGTAGCAGGTCCTTGGTTCAAACCCCGGTCCAGGGGCCTTTCTGGGTGGAGTTTGCATGTTCTCTCTGTGCATGCGTGGGTTTTCTCCAGGTGCCCCGGTTTCCTCCCACAGACCAAAAACATGCATGTTAGGCTGACTGGTAACTCTAAATTGTCCCTAGGTGTGAGTGAGAGAGTGAATGGTTGTTTGTCTCGTTTGTCTCTATGTGTCCCTGTGATGGACTTGCGACCCGTCCAGGGTGTACCCCGCCCCTCGCACAGTGATTGCTGGACATGGGCACCGGCGACCCCCGTGACCCAAAATGGAAGAAGCGGTTAAAGATAATGGGATGGATGGATGGACTTTCAGTGCACACATTCTCCACATTCAAGCATGGGGTTTTACCAGGTACTCGAGTGTTAGCCCGCAGTTTGAAAACCTGCACGTTTGGCTGCAGCATGAAGCTAAACTGTGTGTTTCTGTGTTGCACTCTTGATCGAGCAAAACCTAAACAATCTGAACATTTAGTAGAAATAACTTGACTAATTAGTTAGTTTACGGTGGAGTGCAAATTTTATTGTAGTTTGTATGATTGTTTAAGGTTTAAACAAGTTTCACATTAGTTTTTAATGATATTTTATGTAGAAAATGTACATGACATGATTTTAAAGAGGGGAAACAAGTTACTGACTTTTTAGCCTTCGGCTTATAAACGGACAAAACCAGGAGAGGGCGATGGTATTCCATTTAAAGATGACTCTCCTGTATTATTTTACGCTCAGACTCATAATGTAACTCTGGCTTTAGTCAGCAAATGATGAGTCACTCGGTGCTGAAAAATGGCCACACATCACCAGTGCATGCCCTCTCTCTTCAGCGGAGGAGCCAGGCTTCCTGCTTTTGGTTCCCAGAGTTCCCGGCTGCTGGCAAGAGAATGCTGGGAATATCCGGAAAGGAAGGGGAAGTGACATCACAGCGCTGACCTTCCGTACCAAGCCGGTTCACCTGGTGCAGCCTGCATGAAAGCTAACAAACAAGCACACACTTGGGCACATTCACAGAAAGAGCTCATGACACATTCTGACACTTCAGTTTGTCTGCAGAGAGGCACTGAGGTTCCCATGAACGGAGAGGAAGCGATAACCTCAATTAGTTCTGCAGAAAACTTTCTGACAGTCTAAACTCACCACAAATCTGACAGCCGGATTCCCACAGCATATCAGCTAAAACATTTACTTTCTGCTTGTTTCTCAACTTTTAGGTTTATTGGCTAACAAACGCTAAAAAGGGCCTACATTATTGATTTAATAGAATGAAACCCAATCTGACCTTTTGTGAATTCTGCTACATGATCATATGAGATTTTATTTCCTTGAAGGAATACTTATCACCTGCTGCCTTTTATGCCAGAGTTTTAGACTCAAATAATTTTATGTTGAGAAGAAACAGTTACAGTAGTCCCTCAATAATTGGTGGTTCGACTTTTGCGGACTCGCTCTTTCGTGTTTTTTCAACGGTCATCAACTTTAATATTACTCACGTGATTGGTGGCAGTATGAGGTAAAAAGTTAAAAATAATATTTCGGACATGCGCCTCCATTTTGTAGTTTTCTTTCAATAAGCCTATACTGTAATGCAAGTCAAAAGAACTACACTACCCAGAAGCCAACAGTGCTTCAGGCCACTGCTTTCTGCCGAAACGGAGGGAAAGTTTTGCAATACTAATCTAGGCTATCTATTAAACTCACAGAACTGGCAAGAAAGTCACAAATAATCCTGAAGCTTCCTGAAGCTCAATTATCCACGTGCACATCAACCTGGACGGGGCGGTGGTCTTCGTTGCTGGAGGGTCCATTGATTACAAGTTCAAGTTTCATTATTGTCATTCGCATCACATGTGGTACATGAGGTGGAACAAAATTACACAAGATCTCAGTTACACCCAAAAATAGCAAAAACATAAAGCATAAAAAGAAACGGCATATAAGGATCTAAGATATACATAAAAAAGTGGGGAAAAAACAGTTATGTTGGTGTTAAGATGGCCGCTGGGGCACGCCCTCTCCCTCATCGACAGTTGTGTCAAACTGGTTCAAAACACCAAAAAAAAAAAGAAACCGTCCATATGACCTGACTGAACATTGATGGATTTTATACCTGGATTACTGAGCATGGACTTTGGGGATATACACTAAACAAATGTTAAACGGTACGCTAAAAGATCTAAGATATACGCTAAATACTAATAATCTAAAATAATACGGCTTATAAACAGCAGCCCGAACACGACCGAGTCTGTGGTGAGTAGATGGGTGTGAATGAGTATATCAGCATGAGATAATCAGCAGCATGAGATTACCTTCTGAGACTTTCATTCTATCCACTGGTTCATGAGATATTTTTCTAGCAGATAGACATCATTGATTTAGTTCATCAGTTAATAAGTTTTAGGTAAAGATGTTGCTCAGTGAGGACTTCTCAAAGAATGTGTCCTGACCTGGACCTTCACAAGTCCTTCAAACATATTCAGGATGCTCACATACCAGAACAGCTTCTCTTAGCTCCTTCACACCCAATAAAATTTAGCTTGTTCTTTTACCGATAGCATAAAATCAGTGAGGGCTCGTATTTTTGAATGATTTGAATTGAGGCCCGTGCATGGACAGAGACACAATGAAGGAGATAAAGGAGTAAACTAAATTAAAACGGCTTTAAAACGATGCAGGTGTCTCTTTCACCCAGATCAGATGTTATGTGTTTGTGGTGGAGATGTCTTTTTTTATCATCTGCCAGAGGACCCCTTCCACACACGCACACACACACACACACATACGAAACTGTGTTTTTCTGACTTCAGAGAGCTTCCAGCACAATCATCTTAACCAGAGTCACTTCAAGCCAAACCCATATCCTCGCCCTGTAACCTGCCACCAAAACCACATCACTCCTTTTTCTTCTCCAAGTTCAGCTCGGAGTCGATGCGGCTGAGCAACTGGCGGGCCCTCCTCTCCCCCTCCTCCACAACCCAGCTGTGTCTCCTGCGTGCTTTCACTCCAAGCCAACAGATGGGCTGTTCAGACTGGATTCTGAAATTAAAATAAGGAAAAAAAAAAATGGATCTTTGTCTGAATCTCAAACATCTAACGAGGCTGTTTCAAACAAGAAACCGTTTATGAAACTGTCTAAAGTGATGAGCCACTTCATTAAAAGAATCGAACTTACAGAAGACGTAAAATTCAAATAAAGTACCCTCATGTTTCCATCTTCACTTTAAAATTAGGTCAAACATACAAAACTGAGTTAAGTGCACCAACTTCCTGCTACTTGTAAACATAATTTTTTAATTACATTTAAAACAGCAAAGCCCAAACTAATGTTTCTTGCAGGACTGCATATCATCTGCTGCTTTGCATGCTGAATTAGAAATAAAAATGCAGTCTCATG